GTACAATTTCTAATTGAAATTTCCGACGCGTGACTTCGGGCAAGTGTTCGTTGTTCTCAGCCTGAATTTCCCTATATTCTCTTGCTAGTCTCTGTTTAGTTAGTATGTCGGTATTGAGTTCTACTCTTGAATATAATGTTTGTCACTCGTCGCTCAGTTACTCATTACAGAATAATAAATCTAAAAGACTCTTGGAATCGTCAATAAAAAGTAATGGAACATGGCCGGGAGAGTCGAAGAATTTCCTAATTCAACGGAAAATCAATATTGATTTTCGACTCACCCAAATGATATGCAGGCCACCCCGGAGAGCAATGTCCCACCACATATCGCTCTGTTCAGGCCTATATGCGGAAGCTGAAACGTGTATTTCCTCCATTCCAAGTGTTTCTTCAACACATCCTGTTTTTGCATTCCTTCATGATGAGGTTAGGGACGAGAACTTACATATTTGCCGACGATCGGTCCCAAGAGGAAAGCGACCAGAGAGAAAACACCGACGATCAGACCAATCGTCGTGCTGCTGGCGCCCTTCCTCTCCGCCTGTCGGAGTAGCACTTGGATTAACCTGCTCGATTTCATGAAATGTGCCGATGCATGGACTCACAACAGCGGGGTAGAACGGAACTACGATGGAGAAGGAGGCGAATCCGAAAAGGGTGACGAGGCCACCATAGAGGATCAGGCCGCGTGCCCTCCAGGAGGATTTCCGAAAAAATTCGAAGCATCCATGCACTTCCTCTTCGTTCTGATCGACCTGTTCCCCCACCGCTTCGCTGGCCTTGACGGGGTTCTCGCCCAGGTCCATCGCCAAGAATAAGACATAGGGAGTAAAGGCATAAGGGAGCAACTAGGGACTCAGGGCAAAAGGAATGAGTTTCATTCTGAAGACGCGCTTGATAGACTGACTATATTAATTTTTTTTCACAGGTCTCGCATCACGTGTTTCTAATAATTTATCGATGAATCCACCTGTGTTCCCGGGGGGAATTTCGAAGTTGTTGGGATCTGGTGGATCTAATCCAACTGAGTATAACTCAGTTGACCTGGTTGACCAATGGAGAAGGTTGTCAATCAAGGAAAACTATCAAAATTATACTTTTCTTTCTCATGTCCTCCCCCGCCATTTGGTCCCATTTGGTCCCGTAGTTCACCGAAAGTCCGATTCAGTTTCTTTCGAGCCAGAGTCATTCCCGAGTTAGGGACATTGAGTGGATAAGGGATTAAGCTTGGGGTAAATCTTTATCCAAATCCGCAAAGACTCAAAACCATTTCATTTGTTTTTGTGCCAGAGACGGACCTTTTTTCCAGTTCATTATGGTACCGATCATATTTTATTCGTTTGGTTTTAGAACTGTCCTGCAAGGGTCAACATTACATTCCTTTTGTGTTCCATTTGTTCAATTAAATTGACTAAATTCTTATCATAAATCTATTAATAAGTCTCGGTTCAGTGGCACTCCATTCCGGAATTTGAACAGGCACGAATCGCCTACAGGAATTCGTGGAGAGCTTGACGGTACTTTTTCTAAGGAAAGTGGTATTCCCTGAAATCCCGTCAGAAATTGTGGTAAATAGGTTCTTTGTATCTATTTGGATTAATTTAAATTTTGTCAGGAATATCACGTGGAAATTGGGAATTTCTTCCTTTCCGCTCATTATTCATCCATAATTTTTCCACGATCAAGAGTAGTGTCTCTCGGTATATGATTTGATGCATTTTGTTTGAACATGATTTTTTTTTTCCCCAAATAGTGAAAATTTATATATTCCAAAATTTCACTCGTTCCTCTGAATATAGTCGTGGAATAAATCGCATGACAGGTTTTTCAGAGACCAAAGCGATGCTTTTTCTCCCATTTTCCCTCGGCTAGTCCGTATGGTGATATGTCCTTTGGATTGCTCAATGCTGTTCGCCAATCATCGCCTCGGGAAGTGCAAGACCGGCG